TTTGCAAAAGCTTTATATACTTTTCCAAAGCTACCCCTTCCTATAATTTTAATACCCTCGAAGTCTTTATACTCGAACCTTCTTAATGTCAGTTCGCTTATAGAGTCTTCGAGTCTTTCAATCCATTCATCTTTTAATTCCAAATTTTCTCTTGAAGACATTTGCAATTTTCAAAATGCGTAATTTATAGCGGAAATTTTTTCCAAAAAATAAGACATGGGAGGCGATACTTGTGAGATGACCCGGGTTTTTGTATGAATAAATTGTTGCACAGCATAAGGTATTTTGTTTGGGTTAGTACACAAAATTCTTATTTGGAAATATCAATAATTAATTATTTTTGATATTATAAGAGGAGATTTGTATCGTCACAGGAACATTTGCAATGAGGATTGCAAATCTTAGAAATCTTAGAAATCTGAGTATCTATGTTATAGTTATTTCTTTAATTCTTTATAATATTTTTTCTTTGAAATAGTTGAGATAGTTGAGATAGTCGAGATAGTCGAGATAGTTGAGATAGTTAGGATAGTTAATATAATTTTAGAGCTTATGAAAGATTCGATTTGAATAATTTAAATATCCCTGAATTTGAGTTTGATATTGAGTATGTTATATACACCAAGGTGTCATTTATTAAAATCTGACACTAAAAATGTAAGGGAATCATGCGTGTTTACAAATAGAGTTATACACAAAGCCAAAAAGATACACTCCGCATTTTATAATACACAAAAATGACACATTTCGTGATGCTGATTACAGGCAGGACACTGAAAAATAATAAGTTATTCCGTTTATGTCATTATTTGAGAATTATGAATAGATTTCTAATTGAATTGGTTAACTATTATCTGAGAAGAATATCACTGAAATCTTCAATATCAACTGGACGAGTTGCACCTATCTTGGTGATTCTAGTAACTGAATGACAGATATCAGGGACTCCCGTCTGATGACGCGCCCTTTAGCAAATAAAGAGGAAAGTGACAAGCTAATCGAATGTTATAAAGAATCCAAAGCACAGGGAATAAACGTACCATACAGGAATTTGCCCTACCCATATACCAATCGCCGTACCATTTGGAAATGAAAAAACGATACTATTTCCATTTACAGCACCGTTTTCCACGAGATTCGTAATGAAAGCCACTTTTGTCTGGCCTGGAATTCCATTTCGACAGTTTGGCATAGTAGGGACGTCATTAAAGCTGCGTCGTTCCATTGAAAGACAAGCACAGGTATGTCCTTTTTTAATTCACGTAAGAGAATAATTGCGATAGTAGGATCTTGAAGGGCTAAAGGAAGGTTATGTGACTCTAAAAACGTAAGGTGATTCGTTTCCAATATTTTCATTTAACCACCAGCTTTACCTACCTGTACCGCTCCTATATGCAAGTATTGTGACATTTATTTCTTGAACTAGTTATGAATGTGAAATCAGTTAAAATCCTACACTAATGTTTAAAACAAAGAATCAATACCTATGCGACGAAGTTTTTGGAAAAGGTTTGGCATTTTCAGCGATGGTCGCTTTTTGCATATATGGCCTAAAAATTGTGATATACAAATGATGGAGGATCAGCTAGTTTATTTTTCTTGCGTAAATGACTACATGACCCAGCATGCAATTTATTACACGTGAAAGTTTCAACTTTATACAGTATTCGAGCAATATAAACATAATATATTGCTATTAACAATGCCGTTAAAATTTAATTTGCTCATATATTTATATCAAAATATAACGACTTTATCCCTAGTTGGCCCTAGCTCGGACCTAGTTAAAATTTTATTAGGGACACTACTAGGGTCGACTTTTTAGTTTTCTGGAGCTGTTTGATTTCTTTATTTTATCCCTGTCCCTAGTGTCCCTATTGTCCTTAGGAAAAGATAAGATTCCAGGAAAAAAATTCATTACCTCATGGTATCTAGTGTATATACAGTATAATAGATAATACGTACACATTCATATAATGGATAAAAAAATTAAAAAGTAAGAAACTCGAGATTTTACTAGGTCAGCCAGGATTACTAGGGACAACAATTCGAAAAAAGGTTCTAGAAACTGAAAAATGCCAAATCACTGGCCTCACTTCCGGCCTCAGCTATTTTTTTTCCTAGAGCAACTTTAACCTGTACCGGTTCTGCTGGAATGGTCGAAAAATCTAGTGTTGTGTTATCTTATCCAGCTTTTCCGGTAATAAATGTTTTGGCGTGATTCTTCCCAATATGTAAATTGCACAATCCATATACTGAAGCAGTTGCTCTACTGCCTTGTGAACAAGGGATGCGTGAACATTTTTTCCAATACAGTGCACACCCTTCTTGCCGATAACAAGGCTAATTGAAAACCTTCCCTCATTAGAAAGATACTGATAAAGATGAGTTCCTGTCATTAATTATTATTTTGTTAAAGCCTACCTATTCTTGTAGTGATATTATCTCAGGTAAAAATATTCAATAATTATTTTCGATTAAATTTTTTCCCAGGGTAATATATCACAAAAATAATCCAAGTATCAAATCACAAATAACCAAAATTTTCAAAAAAATATTTATCACACACTAGCAAAGAAAGGAACACCACTTTCTTAACCATAGAGTCAGGAAAATTCTGAAAATTTCAAGCTAGAAATAGAGGAAGAAAATTACAGAGGGGATTCTATTACTGGAGCCAAAGCCAAAAGTGTAACTTAATACATGTATAAAATTCACAATTATAATGTAAGACTAAGAGAATTCATCGGTACAAATTCTAAGGCTGGAATAAAAACTATATTCAAAGAGCGCAAGGGTCATTCACTGCATGAATATATAGAAAATAATGAGCCATTTTATTCTATTATCAATTCCGATTTGTCAATTATAAACTTACACGTAAAGATGTTGTTGTGGAACAATAGGGATGAGAATGGTGCGTCACGTAATAGTAGTAACATTAATAATAAAATGATGTAATAATTATAATTGGTAATAGCATGTAATAGAATAAACGCATCACAAAGCATATAAACAGGATAGCTTTATGTAGTTTGAAAAGGAGAGTTGGAGTTTAGCTTGAAACTTTGAGTTTAGAGTTTAAGATCACCTTTTACTTTCTCTCGCTTTATTCAATAAATGCTACAACTCTGACAATCATATTATACACTCCTTGAAGTATAAACTAAGTCTACGCCACTACAGTAAAGTAACCTTTAAGAGAAGAAGCTGGGTTACCGTTTGCACTGTAAAGAGAGACACTAGTAGTCTTGAGATGTGCCTAGAAAGAGTAATGGTCAAGAAGAGATTAGCAAGTGCAAAGATCAGTCAAATCGTAATCCGTCTTGGAGTTAAAGCCTTACCTTATTTAGTGCTAAAGTCCAAGCGTTTGGATTATCTTTACACAAAGAGTGAGCCATATTAGCAACAAACTTGCTGTTGACAACAACATATATACTATTCTCCCTTATGTCTTTAAAGAAGTGCATTTAGAGATATATCCATATTGGAATCGCAATATCTTAAAATTGCTGATAACAGTAATCAAAAAACTTTTTTGCTTTATATATCTAAACTTTTGAACTTCATCTCAAAAATATTATCAAAGTTGCTGTATTTATTGAACCCATTTATAATAAACTTACAGTAGGTATACAATATAAAAAATATATAGATAATATTGTAAATAAAAGATCGTTTTCTTTGCAAATGCTTGGAACATCAAAAGTTATTAAAGAAACAAAAAGTATGTATGAAAAAGAAACCGCTATTTCCAAAATTTATATAGAAATATATCTGACTTTAGGCTTCACTCTTCTCATGAAGAATATATATGGTTTAATCTTTGATATCTTAAAATTAAATGTAATTAATTCCTATCCATCCACTTTGGAACTGAATATAAACTCATAAAGTAGGATATTATTATATTTAATTTTTCCATACCTGTTTTATAGTTGATTTATAATATGTAATAAAAATATATAAAGTAGTAATACTGAGCTCGAATTAATAAGGGAGTCTCTGAAATACAATATGTTACAAAAGTCTTTGGTCTCTTGTTTTAGTTTACAATTTAATAACTAATTAATAATATATTATATTATATTATATTAATTTATTTAATGATTCAAAAATTAAAATTAATTATTATTATATAGTAATAATATTATTAAAATTATATTTAAAATTAAAAAATACTTGAATTGTAACTATAAAAAATAATCACTTACTTAATATAATGTATTATTAAAAGTTATATATATAATAGACTAATATTAACTTAAATAAATATTTAATATAATAATAGTACTATCAATTAATAAATAAAGTTTTATATTTTATACTTATTTGTAATAAAAAAAAAACATCAATAAAAATTATATAAAAAAATATAATTTTATTTTATTTTTATTATTTTTTTTTTTAAGGGCTAAGGTGCGATACATGCATGGATTTTAAAAAAATATAATTTTATTAATTATTATCTAATAAATTTGTTTATTAAAATAATTTTTTTTTAATAAGCTTCTTATTTTTAAATTTAATTTTATTAATAATTATAATATTTAAATATACAAATAAAAAATATATAAATATTGTTTTGTTTTATTAACTATTTATTAAATTATAAGTCAAAATAAAATTTGAAAAAAAACTCTTTCCCATAACATTTCCATCTATAGAAAATTGTTTTTTTAGAAAACTTTTTTTTTTAAGAAACTTTGTTTAATAGAATATATTCTTTGAGAAGGGAATATAGATTGGATTGATTTAAAGCAATGGAATTTCAAGAATAAAATTGGCCCCTGGAGTTTTATCAATGGCCTGTGCTAAGAGGTCTAGTAACTGGTAATGACACTAAGCAATAACTTGGAACAGAGAAGACAAATAAAAAGAAAATTTCTTATATTAAAGCTATCTCTATATATAACTGTTACAAAATAAACATATCTCTTATCTTTAATTTAAAAACAATATTATTTTCAAGAGGTAGCATTTTATTTTTTAGCATTTTTTTATTTTCTGCTAATGATAACATAATTTTCTGATTAGTTATCAATTCTTGTTCACAAATTTTAATATGGTTCCAATCAGTTTAACTCATATTTTTAGACTTAAACTCAAAAAATGCTAAGATTTTTTATGTATTGCATAAAAACAAAAATTATTAAACAAGTTGTTTTAAACTATTTTCAAGGATTAAAACTTATTATTTTTTTTGACAATTGAATAAATATTGATGAAGTTATAATATTTTAAAATTACTTTCTTTTATATGATATGACGTACAATTGGACCTCTACCATATATCACGTGTTATGAAATTAATGACCTGCTATTGGTCGAAATCGAAAGTCACATGATTGGATCAATAATCAAGATGTAATCAAAATTTCTTTTTCACCATGACCTTTCTCGCATATATGCATATCAACAACTTCACAAAAATGCCTCGTCTGTATATATACAGATAACCTCTTTTTATTCAATTTTACACTTACGTACTTACCATTTTTACGTGCTTCACTAGAAACAAAAAGTCTTGGAACATGAAAAGAAGGCAAGAAGAGCTAAAAAAAGCAGTACTGCAACTATTGCTTTGTGAAGGTGAGCAACTAGATGGGAGTGAAGTCGAAATTTCAGATACAGAACTTGTTTTATTGATTCATGAGAATGACCGAAAACTTTTGAAGTGGGAAAAATCAGCTGGATCTTACCTAAGGAAGGTATATATGGGTAAATCTCGAAGCAGTATAAAACGTAAAAGAAAGGCAGAAAGGGAATGCACACAAATTGCAGAGACGTGTAAGCCGATTACAGCATTTTTTGCTTCTGTAGTCCCTCGTCAATATAAAGAACCAGAATCATATAATGATTGCAAAGAAAAAAGAGATGAAGCCAACTGCAATATGAAGAAAATGCTTTTTTTACTACAGGAAAAACTCAGTGTTTTGCGCAATGAGCAAAAATGCCAGAGCCTATTCTTGAGCACTTTTGACTATTTTCAAATGCAGTGCTTAGCCCTATACTTTACGGATGTGCTAAATGGAGAGAGTAAAGTCAAAAGCAGCAATCGCACTGTACTTTCTATCCTTGGAAAGCAAAAAAATCAGGGGAATGAATGGGCTGCTCGCTGTCTATGCAAATGGGCAGATTATTTTCTTTTCCATGGCCGACTTCCTCCAAGGTTCCAAGACAAGCATATCAAGTACGTTTCGTTGCTCACGAATGAAGACATTA